GCCCTGAGTCCCCAAGGAAACAGGGCTGGGTGTGGAGTCAGACCCTCCAAAGGGTGCGGGGGATGGCGAAAAGGTGTGAAAGGACTGAGCCTAGGGCATTCTGGTAATGGCAAGTGAGGGACGTAAGGAGGGACCTTTCTGATTTTATCAATTTATTAATGAGTAGATAAAGAAAATGTGGTATTTATATACAAGGAGTACTACTCAGCCATAAAGATAAATGAGGCATTTGTAGGTAAATGGATGCAACATGCAACTTGAGACTATAACAGGAAGTGAAATAAGTCAGACACACAAGCTTAACTATAGCATGGTTTCTCTAACATAAGAAACTCAGTATATATCTTGTGTGTTTGTGTGTGTGGGAGAGAGACAAAGAGAGAGTGCAAAATAGAAGATAGATAAGTAGGGAGACCTTTGTCAGATGGGTGGGGGAAGAAGAGTTGTAGGGAGGGAGGCAAGGGGAAAGGGGCGGAAGAAGAGAGAACTGAAGGGGAAATGAAGCCTTTGCAAATGAGAAGAGGACCAGGAGTTGGGGGGAGTGGGGAAGGAGTGAGAAGAAGAGCATGCAAAAGAGAGGAAGAATGAAGATGCGCCCCCTGCGGGCGTCAGCTCCCCGCGGTAGTGCGGTCGGTCGGCACCTACTGCACCGATGGACCAATAGGAAAAGGAGGCGGAGCTCCCAGCGGTAGCGTCCCTCCCTGGTGGGTGGGCGCGCACGGCCAGTTACAGAAGAGTGGATGGTCCACTCTTCTGTGGGCTGCTCTGCTAACATTAGATATTAGCGCTCAGCGTTTTGGGGCATTCCTTTAGAATATGTAAATCGTCATCTTCTGGCTGCTCTCATTTACATTTCTTTGATCTCTCGTAAGAATTAACATTGTTCACTGTGTTTGTCTGCTAATTGCAGCTCCCTTGTGGGAATAGTCTTGCCTCTTACCCACTTTTCCTTCGCAGTCTTGACATTTATTTTACAAATTTGAATTAGCTATTTATGATAGAGTTTGGTTCTTTATAACATTTGATAGAAATATTTTCTCTCTTAAAAAATCTTTAGTGATGCTAATTTTCATAGTGTAATCATTTCAATTACTTCAAAGCCAAGAAAGTTAGAATTCCCCCAGAGAGATGATGAACACTTTTTCCAATTTTCTGCAAGTTCTTCCATAATTAGATTTTTAGATGTAAGTCTTTTAATCAACCAAATCTTATCTTGGTGACTGTTTTATTTTTAATAACTTTTTGTATTATGAAATCAATCAGGTTTATTATTGAAAAACAGGAAAATAAAGAAAAACACAAGTAGATCCATTCAGAGAAACCACTACTAATATCTTGATATGGGCCCCTCTAAATCATCTTTCCTGTATACATATTTATTTTTGAAAACATAACTATAACACAGATTATAAAGTTGCCAGTATACTGTGTGCTTAATGACTGTATACAAACAAGTTATTAATGACAAATTTCAGTGGCCTTAAATGCTATTTCAGGAACATTATTTAAAACAACTACAGAGTATTGCACTCTATAATTCTACCTTAAATGACTTACTTGCCTATTGTTTTTATTAACTTTAATGTGTCTAAGATATCACTCTTATGAATGATACTGCTATAAACGTACATATAACTTTCTGATTACTTCTTCTGTATAAATTAAAGTAGAACTGATGAAGGAAAGTTTTTATATCCATATACTTACCTGCCTATCATCCATATCTAGTTTACTTTTTCATATGTATTGTCAAGTAAATTTAAATCATTTTAAGTTCCTGCCCACAGCAAATGGATGTACCCTCTCTTTTGTCCCACATTCTACCTTTGTTAAATTAATTATTAACAATTTTGCAACTTTAGGTCAGGTGTGGTGCACACCTGTAATCCCAGCACTCATGAGGCTGAGGCAGGAGGATCATGAGTTTGAGGACAGCTTGGGCAACATAGCAAGACCCTATCTCAAAACAAACAAAAGTAAAAACTCAAACCCAAACACGAAACAACCCTTACATTTTTACATTTTCATGCTAACTTGATAAACTCAAATGGCATATATATATTTTAACATTTTTTTTTTAGTGACTCCAAATAGAATTTACTCCATTCTTATTTTTATTGCATATTTTTCTTCATTAATTCTCTGTTGATATTATTGGCATATTTTATATACTGAACATATTTTTATGTTTTTTTTTTTTTTTTTTTTTTTTTTTTTT